CCTCCGTCCACAGACAGAGCACCACTAAGCCCTCCTCTCACACTCGGAGAAAGCAGAGGCCAGAGAGCGAGAGTCACTCAGCAAGCGGACGCTGGAGCCGGACTGGAACCTGGGCCCAGGACGCCCGGTGCAGGCTGGTCCCACGAGGCCGGCGGAGGAGCGGGACGGGAAGGGGCTGTTTGGAAGGTGGGGTGCAGCTGGGCACAGTGGGCTTGGAGCTCCGGAGCCTTCTGCCCGGTGGGCATCCCGCCTCTGCCGCGGGGTGGCTGTGTGACCTTGGACAAGTCCCTTCACCTCCCTGTGCCTCGGTTTCCTCGTCTGGAAAATGGGCATGGCCATGGCACCCACCCACCTCACAGGTAACACCTGTCGGGGGCTCAGAGCCACGCCCTTCACAGTCAGAATCTCCACCCGTCAGATGCCCCTAACACGAAGCCCCGCCAAGCCCAACGGATAACACGCCAGCACACTCCAAAGCACAGCGGCCTGCTGGCCGGGACACCGTGTCTGACCCTCGTGGGAATGTGGCTGTGAGGGAGGGGGCGGGAAAGCTGGGGTTTCCTGAACAGGAAGAGGGAAGCAAAAAGGCAGGCGCGGAGCTGGGGAGAACCCGGGCTGTCTCCTCCTGAGTGGGACCGACCCTGCCCGACCCCTACTCAGTGGGCGGGGGGAGGGGGACCCCCGACAGACCCGGCTCGCTGTGCCGTAAGAAGACGCTGAGAGCCAGGGAAGGAACGGGATACAAACGGCCATCGCCACAAGCACCATCCCTCCCACGAGTGTTGGCTGAGCACCTACTGTGTGCCAGTGGGAGCACTGGGGAGCCAGCGGGAACAACGAGATAAACTCAGTCCCACCCCAGCAGCGCTGGCGGACCACACAAAACCAGCAGACAAGGGACATGAAGGTCAAATCCATGGCAGCGGCGGGCGCCAGAAGAGAAATCCAGCAAGAAATGTGTAGGGAGATCAACGCTGATGCGGGTGCTTGGAGAGAGCTCAGCACCGACTGAAAGAAGCTTCTAGAAACAGCCTTGTGCCATCTGAGGGAAGAGGGAAGGGCCAGAACGCCTCCCTGGGGGGCCGACGGGCAGGAGCTGGGGGCCATAGTGAGGGGAGGGTGGGGCGGGGAGAGAAGGAGCTGGGAGAGCCGCTCTGACTCCAGGTGAGAGGAGGCGGTTGGAGGGGCACCCGAGGGAGGAGCAGGTCTGAGAACGGCTCTGGTGGGCGGAGGCCGCCGAGGGGCAATGGCCCAGGCGGGGAGGCGGCGGCCGCAGCACAGAGTTTAGAGAGATGTGAGAGGCTCAGGCGGGCAGCACGGAGGGAGCTGGGCACACACACACCGGCCGGGCCTGCCCTGCACCCTCCCACAGACCCTCACACCCTCACACCCCGCACAGGGCCGACTGCTCCGACCCCCTTCCACGGGAGCCAGTGGATGCTCTTGCCTAATCACAGTGCCCAGGAGGAGGCAGAGCCTTCACCAGACAGGCCGGGCACCGCTGCACCGCTGCAGGGGAGAGCGAGGTCTGGGGTCAAGTCAGAGCACCAGCAGCTGCTCCTGCTCCTGGCGAAGGCCCTCCTCCTGCCCCCCCAAGCCCACCCCCCTCCAGCCAACCTGCAAAGTCCGCCGGAGCCCTCACCCTCCATTCCTGCCACCACTTCCTCGGGATCAGGTGCGGCCGCACCTGTACCCCCAGTTAGCACCCATCGCCCTCACCTCACGTCCCTCCCCCAGACTGCCTGCATCTGCACCCCCAGACTGCCTGCGTCTGCACCCCAGACTGCCTGCGTCTGCACCCCAGACTGCCTGCGTCTGCACCCCCAGACTGCCTGCGTCTGCACCCCAGACTGCCTGCGTCTGCACCCCAGACTGCCTGCGTCTGCACCCCAGACTGCCTGCGTCTGCACCCCAGACTGCCTGCGTCTGCACCCCAGACTGCCTGCGTCTGCACCCCCAGACTGCCTGCGTCTGCACCCCCAGACTGCCTGCGTCTGCACCCCCAGACTGCCTGCGTCTGCACCCACCCAGCCCTTCCAGCATCCAACCGGGAGAACTCCAATCTGCGTGAGGAGTCGGGAGTGGTGTGGAGGCCACACTGCCTTTCCCGGTTTGTGAGGGAGCTTGGTGCTCCCACCTGGAGGAAGAGGGTGGCTTTGGGATCTGGCAGTCTGGCCAGGGCGTGGTCTAGGACCGGTGTGGGGGTTCGGTGTGGGAAAAGGCTGATCGGATTCCCCAGTGGCCGCCCAGGACGGAGAGCACAGGAAGAATGACGGAGCAGGCATCGGAGAGGACGGAGCACTGAGCAGCTGCTTCTTGGACCGGCTGGGATTCCGTGGTTGGTGTCAGCGTTCTGGCGGAGGTAACATTCCTCGCAGCTTCAAGGGCTGGAGGGAAGTTGGTCCCCAATGTTCTCAGAGGTGGGGGAAGGGGAGGTCAGGATTGGGGGGGAGAGGGGGAGTTGCTGGGACATTTTTTTCCTCTTCAAGTAAATAATAAATTTAAAAAATGGCCACAGGACCCAGAAAAAAAGGTTGTCATGGCAACCAAAGTTTGGGGCCAGGGACTTCCTGAATCCGCTTCTGGACCACAGCGCGGAGGGCAGGATCTGGGCGCTGTGGACCCACCGGGAACCGTCCCAGCTGGCTCGGCCCCACCACGTTTCTCACCAGCACTGACAGGCTGATAACTGTTTTCAGGCTCTTGGGAAGGAAAATTGTGATTTTCTGGGAGGGGTGATGGCTAGCCAGCAGTGATCCAGAGAAAAGGAAAAACGGTGGGTTTTGTTAATTTGCCCAATAAGCTAACCATCCGCTTTTTCACCGAGGACCCAGGAATGAGCCCACCGCGTCACCCCCTTCTCCGACTCCCGAGGGGCCTATCATCTTCCCTCCCCGCCTCCCCCAGGTTCCGTCTCCCCAGCGAAGAGGCCTCAGGCCTGGACAGCAGAACCCCCGCTCTGAGCCCCAAACTCCTCCTCTGGAAAACGGGCACCACAGACGTGCCCGCCTCACGGGTACTGGCAAGCGTCCAACAAGACAGAGCAGGTGAGCAGCCCTCGCTGGGCCTGGGCACGCTGGGGGCTCAAGCAATGAAGCTAGCACGGCTTTCAAAGGCGGCTCCTTTACTATCTGTAAACGCTAGGGCTTAGGGATCCTGTGCCCAACCCTGGATAAGCTACAGGGATGAGCAACAGGGAAGAGCTTGGACTATGACCGACAGGGAGAGGCCGGGAGAGACCTCAGCAGTGAAGAGGCTGGCTGGCAGCGAGGACCAGGACATCGCAGAACCTGGGGGAAAGGGGGGGAGGGAGGGGAGAGGCGGGGCGAGAAGCCTGTGGGAGGTGGAGTATGCTCCAGGGGCAGGCCTCCCACACCTTGGAAACCCGGCCCTGAGCTGGGAGAAAGGCGTGTGGGGACACCTACCCTCCCCCCCAGAGAGTGCCGGAGAGGTCCGGGGTGGGCCGGCTGGGAAGCAGGGATGCCTCCCGAGGCTCCTTTATGATTGTTATTGTTCCATCCCAGAAGGGCGTGCACAGCACGAGTGAGTCTGCTGGGGCCGGGCTCTTCTCCGACACAGCCAGCATCGAGAGTGGGGCCCCCCCAAAGGTGAGAGAGCACGCAGCCCCTCGAGAGAGCCGTGGTTTGCCACCCCCGGCCCCACCCAGCAGCATCCTGCACGCGGCGTTAAGAACTACTGTGCACACGCACTACCGGGGAGGCATCCTTAGGCACAGGGGCGACAGACAGGGAGCAAAGGAGGCCCCCAGCAAGTTCAAGGTGTGCCAAGTGGGCTGAGGCCGGGGACAACGCAGGTGATGGGACACAAAGACGGGAGACCCGGAGTCTTCTCTCCAGAGGAGCCTGGGCCTGAGGGGGCAGCAGCGGGGAGAGGGGGTCCAGGCTGAGGGCGCAGCCTCCCTCCCTTCACTGCTGGTCTGGAACCCAGCAGGCCAATGGAACAGCTTCTGCAGGACCGGCTGCTGGCCGCGGCCGGCCCTCACTGAGCACCGGTAGCACCGTGTCCAGCAGAGGAGCGGCGCCTACGGGGAGGCGCTCTAACCTTGGGGGAGAGGTCAGTTCGCTGAGTTCCCTGGCCGGCCGGGCACTGGGCGGTGCAGGCGGTGGGACCCGCGTCTGGCACCCGCCCCCCGCGCTCCCGGGAGCCCCTCCCCTCGGCCTGCCCGGCTCCCCCCCTGTCTCCGCGCACAGGAGGGGCTGAGGCCGCGGGAGCGGCTCGATCTGCCGCCTAAAAAGTCACACACACCCCACTCCTGACCGATCCCCGCCCGCCGCCCGCTTCCTCTGCCACCTCTTACCCCCGCGAGCGAAGGCTCCCCGCCTGCCCCCCCCCCCCCCGGCCGCCCCGCACCCCGGAGCTGTTAGTGCGGCCGGGAGGACGCCCCGGGGGCGCGGAGGGAGAGGCGGCTCCGAGCCACGGTCCCCGCACCTCCCGGTCCCCGCACCTCCCGGGCGGCGGGATGGGCGGGGGCGGGGGAGGCACCAGCGCCCCGCGGTGGAAGGGGGGCGAGCGGACAGAGTTGTGGCGCCGAAAGGAGCCGCGTCCCTGCGCCCCGCCGCCGGGGGGTCCGCGGAGCTGCTCCTCCCTGGGGCGCGGCAGCTCCCCGAAGCCGCCCGGCGCCCCGAGCCCCGGCGCCCGGCACGGACCCAGACACGGGGAAGGGGACGTCCCGGACCCCAGCCTGCTCCCCCTCGGCCCCGCGCGCGTGCCCCGCAGGGGGCGTGGGCCGAGCTGTGCGCGGCGGGTCCCTCCGCCGGAGCGGGGCGCGGGGAGCCGGGAGCCGGGAGCCGGGAGCCGGTCACAGGGAGCAGAGCGCCCGGAGCTGGGCGCGGGGCGGGGGCGCGGGGCGCGGGGCGCGGGGATCGGGGCGCGGGGATCGGGACGCGGGGCGCAAGGATCAGGGCGCGGGGATCGGGGATCGGGGATCGGGGCGCGGGGCGCCGGGAGAAGGAAGCGCCCGGGACCCGGAGGGGACTCACCGCGCCCGCCGGGCCGCTCCTCGCACGAGTACCAGATGCCGGTGTGGAAGCGCCGGAGCAGGAAGCGCTCGTCGCCCGCCTCCCAGCTGTAGCGCTCGCCGCCGGGGGCGCCGCTGGCCGGGGCGGCGGGGGCGGCCGTGGCGTTGGCCGTGGCGTTGGCGCCCGCGTCGGGGCAGCCGGCGCGCCCGTCCTGGCCGCAGCCCGGCCTGGGCACCCGCCGCGCGCCCTGGCACCAGTGCGTGGTGAGGAAGGCGGTGGTGGCGGCCAGCAGCGCCAGCAGGTTCAGGGCCACGGCCACGAGCGCCCGGCCGCGGCGGCTCGTCTTCATGCCGCCCGCCGCCGGCCGCCGGTCCGCGCGAAGTTGGCAGCCGGCGCCCCCTCAGCGGCCGCTGCCCGCCGCGCCCGGGGCCCGGGGCGCCTGCGATGGGCGGCGGCGGGCGCGGCGGGCGCCCATGCCCCCTCCCCGGCGGGGGCGCGGGGGGCGGCGGCGGCGGAGCTGCGGGCGCGGAGCCGGAGCGGAGCTGAGTGCTCCTCGGCGCGTAGTCGCCGCCCGGCAGCTGCCGCGGCGCAGGGACGCGCCTCCGCGGGGAGACACCTGCCGGCGGCCGGCGGCACTTCAGCGCCCGCCTCTCGGGGAGCGGGAGGGGCGCCCCACGCCGGGCGGGGCGGGGCGGGGACGGCGAGCGGAGCGGAGGGCCTGGGAGCGCGGAGAACGCCGGCGAGGGGCTGCGAGAGAACCAGGCTTCCCCGGGGGACGTGGGGCCACAGCCCCGGCCGGGAGGGTTCACCCTCCGCCACCCAGAAAGGCCTGCGGAGGGGAGACAGGGCAGCGCCTGCTGGGGGTCCGCACGAGGGGTCTGGGCCAGGACCCCCTCCACGGAGGAGACCAAAGGGCCTGGGCTGCAGTTTGCCAGGCTGCCCAGAGCCGGGAGCTGCGGGACCCTCTGGCTGGGCGCCCTGTGCTGGTCCTAGACGTGCAGGGCCGGTCAGGAGGGGTCCCAGCAGGAATGCAGGGTCCCAGGGCCGGCTTCCCCTGGGGGCTGCCAGGGGCTGAGCCCCGTGGACCAGGAGGGAGGGCTCCGCTGGCAGGGCGAAGCTGCCAGCTGGGACGCCTGGGCTGGGTGGCACAGCGGGAAGGGTGGCAAAGAGGTGCCCGCACAGGACACCAAGGGCAGGTATGATGCCTGGAACTTCCCACTCAGGCCATCCCCACCTGGGATCTGAGCAGCATGGCCCACGGAGGCCCCTCCTGGGCAGAAAGTGGTGGTTTCCAGGCAGCTGTCTGGCCAGGGCCTCCAGCCCATCGCTGGGGCGGGGACAGCACGGCCAAGAATCCTGGCTTTGGGGCTTGGCCTGTGGTGGGTTTTGAACAAGCCACTTCCCTTCTTGGAGGTATTACACAGGTGTGCGACCTCCATACAAAGGAGGGTCCCTCTGTTGAAGTGACATCATGCCTGTCAGCAGCACTTGGCACACAGTAGGTGCTTAATACCTGCTGTTTATTCACAGATGAACCAAGAGCAGTCGACCAAAGTCGCACAAGCCTTTTCAGGTCTCTAGTGTCAGGCAGGATTGCCCAGCGTGAGAGCCCCACCCACACCTCTGCTCACTCCGACCAGGTCCCCAGGTGCTGCCGGGCCAGGGTGCCCGGATGTGCAGCCATCCGTCGGATGAATTCCGCCCAAGCCGAGAACGGCTCCGAGGAGCCACAGCGTGCACGGGGGCAGGCCTGTGGAGCTCAAGGTCAAGGGACTGTGGATTGCCTCACTCTGGTGGGTAAGCCCACGCCTGCTGCCAGCTCTGCTCCTCCGCCGGGGGAAGGTGAGCCTGTCTGTGGGCCTGCAGGACCCGTGGGGAGGGTGGCCCAGTCTCCGGACTTGTGTGTTAGGTCCCTTTCCTGGCCTCAGGCAAGGGGCTCCCGACTCTTTTGAGGAGGTTAGTAATAAGGATGGTAAGGGTCCTGGTTGACAGAGAGGAAATGTTATGGCCAAGCAGCTACAAGGAGTTCGGCAACACTTTTCCAGGGCGTGCAGTGTTTTCCACAGGCGTCTCTGCACTGGGAAACCAGCCCCCCCAAATGTGTGCGGTGGTTGGGGTGCCCGCTGGCAGCACCCACAAGCTGGGAGCCCGCCTGCGAGTCCAACGCCCAGGTGAAATATGTCCCAGGGCCACCCGCTCCCAAAAGATACCCGGAGGAAGACAGAACAGGGGTTGGTTAGAATTTCTAAACGGCACTTTTCCACTCATGATCCGTCCACAGGGGCTGCCTCGGGCTGGTAGAGGGCTCAGGGGGACTTGTTGGGGCTGGCGGGCGGGGTTTGGTTAGGAGGCCAGGCCTGGAGGCCCACACGCAGGTTTCCTGCTCTTTAGCCGGTGTCATAAGCCAGGGCCTCCTGTCTCCTGCGGCTCCCCGCCGCCTCTGCCCGGCTCTCCCCCCTGCACCGGGCCCGAGGCCAGTCCAACAAGCCCCCGCTGCCCTCCTCAGGCACTCCCCTCGCCTGCCCAGACCCAGGCTAACAGTGGCTCCAGGTCCTACGAGACGGGCTCTGCCACACGGGCAGCCCCTTGCCCACCCTCCCACAACCACCACCACCGCCACCACCACCACCACCGCCACCACCACCACAACCACCACCACCGCCACCACCACCACCACCGCCACCACCACCACCACCACCGCCACCACCATCACCACCACCGCCACCACCACCACCGCCACCACCACCACCACCGCCACCACCACCACCACCACCGCCGCCACCGCCACCACCGCCATCACCGCCACCACCACCACCGCCACCACCGCCACCACCACCACCGCCACCACCACCACCACCACCATCACCACCACCACCGCCACCACCGCCGCCACCGCCACCACCACCGCCACCTCCACCACCACCACCACCACCACCACCACCGCCACCGCCACCACCGCCACCACCACCACCACCGCCATCACCACCACCACCGCCACCGCCACCACCACCACCACCGCCACCACCACCACCACCGCCACCGCCACCACCACCACCACCGCCACCACCACCACCACCGCCACCACCGCCACCACCACCACCACCGCCACCACCACCACCACCGCCACCACCACCACCACCACCACCACCACCACCACCACCGCCACCACCACCACCACCACCGCCACCACCACCGCCACCACCACCGCCACCTCCACCACCGCCGCCACCGCCACCACCACCGCCACCACCACACCAGGCCTCTCTGCACCTTGTCGCCCAGCTCAGTGGGAACCCCAAGGCTCCACCCGCCTCCCCGCTCCGCCTGAGTGCTCTGCTCTGCCCAGCGGTGCCCTCGGAGCTGTTAAACACAATCCCCTGCCCGCCCCGCCCCTGCCGCCCTCCCCCCGCCCCCCAGCCATGATGTCTGTGTTCACACCTGTCTTCCTCACGGCCTGGGGGCCCCTCTGGTCGCCCTGCTGGCAGCCTGCAGCCATGTTTGGCCCAGAAGCAATTTCCCTTTGGCCTGGATGGCGTTGGCCTCCACCGCGTTTTTAAATTTTCATGAGTTGCCAATGTTCAATAATCATGAGCTTTCACATAAAAAAATCAAATTGCCTGCCAACACTGGGCCATCGCTGGCAGATGCCCCTGCACCGGGGGCAGGAGGGGCTGTAGGCCCGGGGGCATTGGAGTCGGAGCCCCTGGGGTCCCGTGGTGCTAGAAGTCAAGTCGGGGTGGTGGTCACCCCTGCGAGGTGGGTGGGGTGGGCGGGGCCTGAGGGGGCTTCCGGACTGCCCAGTCACCTTCCGCCCAGGAAACTAATCCAGCCGTGCTGCTGGGAACAGTGAACTTTTTGTTTTTGTTTTTGTTTTTTAAATATATTTTATTGATTTCTTACAGAGAGGAAGAGAGAGGGATAGAGAGTTAGAAACATCGATGAGAATCATCAATCAGCTGCCTCTTGCACACCCCCTACTGGGGATGTGCCGGCAACCAAGGTACATGCCCTTGACCGGAATCGAACCCGGGACCCTTCAGTCCCCAAGCCGACGCTCTATCCACTGAGCCAAACGGGTTTCGGTACCGTGAACTTTTTATAGTCCACAAAACGTACCTGAAACGATGAAATTCAAACTCCTCGGGAACTACGAATAAGCTTTGGAGGGACAGCACCCAAGTGCATCGCCCTTCCCGCTTGGAATCGGCTGTTGCAAGGACACGTGCCGGCCCCCCCGGCCCTCGGACTCACGTGCCGATTCCGGAACCTTCCACACGGAGCCTGGGACAGCACCCCGGTCCCCGCCCTCCCTAATCACAGCGAGGGATTAGCCATTTCCAATTACCGGCGAAGTTCTAAACACTCGCTCCCAATTCCCACTCCACTCCCCTGGCTCGGCCGCCATCCGGGTTTGGGTGGAAGCCAGCTCGAATTGCCAGTGCTGGGAGGCCCTGCTGCTCGGCCAGCCACCCTGGGGTGGGGAGGGGCGGGGCGGGGAGGGGTCCCAGACCGCCTGCCCCCAAAGGAGCCCCCGGCGGCTCCTCCAGAGAAGGGAGCAGCTTCTTTACCTCCACATGTGCCTTCACACTGCCTCAGCTCCTCCAGCTGCTAGAGAATCAGCAGCCTGGCTCCGACGGGCACTGAGTGAACAAGCCAGGCCGAGCCCTGCCTGCAACTGGGTCAGTGCAGTGGGGACACAGGCCGTGAGGATGCAGGCGGGAGCAGCCAAGGCCTCGCTGAGGATGCTGGGGAGGCAGCCAGGTGCTCGAGCTGGGAAGAGTTCCATGGCCCAGAGGGAAGGTGGAAGGGCCGACTTTTAATCCTGGCTCTGCCACATCTGGGCCAAACCTCTCTCCCAGAGCCTCAGTTTTCTCATCTGTAAAATGGGGATGCCGAGGTCCACCAAGCACCAAGGCCTGCGGAGTGCGGAGGAGGACCCCACATACCCGGTGTGCTATCAGAGATGAGGCCCTGGCATGCAAGCACCTAGGACATCCACCCCGGAGTGTTCCCAGGAACCAGTTACGGGGTCACCGGCGGGTTAGCCTGTGGGTGGCAGGTGGGGAGGTCTCGCTGGCAGGCCCCGAGGATGGGAACATCTGTTTGGCACTGAGCGGCTGCGTGGCAGGCCCTCTGGCCAAAAGGGGTGTAATGGAACGCTTATCGAATTCTTACCAGCTCAGCTGGGGAAACTGAGGCTCAAGAAGTTACAGGGAAGGCGTCAGAGGCCAAGGCCCAGGGCCCAGTTCGGATGGATCCCATGGAAAGCCCCACAGCCCGGGAGGAGCCTGGAGGTCACTGGCCCACCTCCTTGTTCCAGCACTCAGTGGGATTTACCCCCTTCTCCAGGGTCCGAGGCTGGTTGGACTCCAGGCCTGAGGAGGGAAGATGGGAAAGGCTGGGGAGAAAGCAGACACTAGGTGTCTCCTCCGTCTTCCCTTCTTGACCTGTTTTTTCAAGCTGTTGTTTGCTTCCTTCTGCTGCC